GGGTTGGAGCGGGGCTGGATGCGGGTTGGAGCGGGGCGGGATGCGGGTTGGAGCGGGGCTGGATGTGGGTTGGAGCGGAGCTGGATGCGGGTTGGAGCGGGGCTGGATGTGGGTTGGAGCGGGGCGGGATGCGGGTTGGAGCGGAGCTGGATGCGGGTTGGAGCGGAGCTGGATGCGGGTTGGAGTGGGGCTCCGCTCCCGCGTGCCAGCAGGAGGTGGTGCTGTTATTCCGCTCTCCACTGCACGGAGAGCCCAGCTGCACTTCCACTGTGGATCCAGGGGCCCGGGATCCCTTTCCGCCGGAGGATCCGTGGCTGGTGCAGACGGGTTGACACCAACTCGCCCTACAGATGTGCTCAGTTGGGGTCTTGCTTGGGCCCTCCCCACGCTGTGCACCCCGGGGCGCTGCACCAGTGCAGCGAGTTGCTCGTTCTCAGCAGCCTCACCGTGCCCCAAGTCCTTTGGGGCAAAACACGCCAGAAAACATCCATATGTGCAAGGAGATTGGGCGCTCCAGGGGAGCAGAGCGCCGTGGGACAGATCCACGCGCATCCGTGCGGATGCAGGAAGCATGGCGTGTGCTCCGGAGCCATCCCACCACGGGCAGCCCCACGGGATGCACGGGAAGCCTGCGGAGGAACGTGAGTGATCCCGCGTCGGCGTGCGCGGGAAGGCGCTAACTCAGCAGCTCGTATCAATACCGCTCCACTTACAGCGAGGGCTGCGTAATGAAAATCCGATGGGCACGGTGGTGGGAGTAAATAAGTATGCCATTAAAATGAGAAAATCAAAGCGCCGGACAGGTCTTTTCTCTTGCCCATTGATTTCTTTTATTACGGAAATATTGCTGCTAAATAACATTAGTGTGAACAATCTCAGCAGTGTTTTCCGTAGCGGCTGTGTCAATAGGGCCCGTGCGGGCGGGGGGATCCCAGCCCTGCTCCGGGGCCGCCATCCCCTGCGGCCGCTGTGCCGGGCAGGCCAGCGGCTGTCCCATCCCATCCATCCCATCCCATCCTGTCCCATCCCCTCCAAGGAGGCTCCAATGGGCGGCGCATGAGGGATGGATGCCGCACGCGGAGTGTCCTGCAGGTACGTGCCCACCTGTGGGCTCTGCCCCTTCCTCCTCTCTCCTCTTCCTCCAGACCCATCCATGCCCTTGTCCGTGTTGCACTGGCCCCTCTCCCTGCGGCTGGGGGTCATTGGATTCATCTTGGGAACTGATGTACGGGGTAGGGGGAAAACCCAGAGTCGTCACCCCGGGTTGGGGCTCACAACCGAGGTGCCCCTGTCCCCTCCAGAGAGCTAACGGGGGGCTGGATCTGGTGCCTCCTGTGGGTAGAGCATCTGTGTGTCCTGCTGCTTCCATTATCCCCACACACGGAGCACCCGCGGCCGCCGGCTCTGCCCGACTTCTCCTCACCACAGAGCTCCCCCAGCTCCCTGGGGACAGGATGGAGGCCAGGCGGGACCCCAGGGCACCTCAATGGCCCCAAACCCCTGCAGGGCGCCTGGAGGTGACCACGGGCTCCGCTCCGTCCCCTTGCAGCTCCGCTCCGCTCCCAAACCCGCCCCCGTGCACCAGAGCCGTGGCTGGAGGCACCACCCGCACACACGCAGGTCCCTGCATCCGAGCGCCTGCCCCCGGCTCGCTCCATCATCCCCACGCGTGCGGCGGCCATCGATCCCCATGGGATCTATCTCCCGATTCCTCCTGCGGTATCTCTCCGTTCCGAGTATCTCTCCATCTGCTCCATGCTCTGCCGTGCCCATCGGTGCCTACGGTGCCACCCGCTGCCCCCGCAGCCGCCGATACCTGTTTGTCCGGGGGGTCTCTGCTCTCCCGCAGCGGCATCGCCAGAGCGCGCGGGGCCCAGGGGCTGCTGACAGGCAGGGCCCCGGCTCTCCCGGCTGCCGGGGGGCCCTGAGCACGGAAACACTTCATGACACATGTGCCGAGTCCCGTGGTGGCTGCAGCACCAGGAGCTGGGAAGGCAGAGCAGAGCGGTGCTGGTGCAAGCAGAGCGGGCACCCTGGCCCCTTGCACCCCACACACTGCACTGGGAGGGGAGGCTGGAGCACCAGGGAAGGGCTGTGCGGGAGCAGGAGGGACCACGTGAGTCTCCGCTGTCTCCTCCACCAACATGGGGCCGTAGGGCCCTTGGGCACTGCAGCAGGATGGGCAGCACCCACTCCCCAGCCTGCAGGGAAAACTGAGGCGCAGGGACATGCCCGGAGCTCCCCAGCTGGAGCTGGCACATGCCAGGTCCCCAAACGGAGATGACACATGCTGGAAGGTCCCCAGACAGAGCTGGCACATGCTGGGAGGTCCCCAACCGGAGCTGGCACGTGCCAGATCCCCATCCGGAGCCAGCACACGCTGGGAGGTCCCCGGCTGTGCTGCAGCGGGAGCACGCGGGCCGGGCGAGCTCCAGCTGCCCAGAGCCGAAACGGGATGGAAACAGCTGCTTTATCTCCTGTGCAAAGAGAAACAGCGCCCGGGGCCCTGCCGGCCACGGAGCCGCCCTGCTCGCCCTGCTCTTAGGGGTGGGACAGGCACATTTTCCAGTGGAGCCTGCGCTGGAACGCTGCACCAGGACACCCGGCAGCTCCCAGGAAAGTCCTTTGTGGACCACGCAGGGTGAGCCGGGATGAAGCTGCTCCCAGTGCTGCGGATGCTGCTCGGGGCTGGTGGTGCTGGTGACCCCACAAAGCATCTGCTGTCCCTGGATAAGGGAGCCCGAGGAGGAGCCGGCTGCTCCTGTCACCACTGTCCCCAGAGAGGAGGAAGGAAGGGACAAACGCCTTGTGCTCCCATGAGCAGAGGAGCACGGGGATGCCGCAGGGATGCTCCTGGCAGGAGGAAGCCCCAGTTTGGCCATGGGACCTGGTCCCACCAGAACAAGGGGCCGGGGTGGCGGGGGTGGCAGCGGGGCTGCCGTGCTGGGTGCTTGTCCCAGCTTGTGGCTTTGCCTGGTGTCCACACACCCCCTTGATGGGGAGAGACCACAGCCTCGTCCTGCCCACACCAGGAAAGGGCTGGGGCTCTGTGGGCTTCTTTGGGGGTCCAGGCCCTGCCGAAAGGGCTAACCCCAGGGATGGGTGAGAGGCCTCAGGACGGGCTCTGTGCGCCCTGGGGTGGCTGCCAGCGCTGCCAAGTGCCTGGTAGCACGGAGTCACCCCAGGGACACACAGGTGCTGACAGGAGAGAGGACGACCACATGTGTGTGTGCATGTGTGTGCATGGGGATGCATGCAAGTGCGTGTGCCCTCGAGTGTGCATGCCTGTGTATCCACATGCATACGTATGCACACACACATAGGAGTGCACACGTGCACCCGGTGGGCTCATGCTGCTCAAAGAACAGGAGCGCAGCAAATGCAAGAGCGGCAGCAAAGCCCTGGGGGAGCCGGGGCCCCCCCTGCTCACAGGTGGAGGTCGGGGCTCAGCTTCCCAGCTCACCTGAGCTGCTCCCCCTCCACCCCAGCAGCCTGCACAGTGCAGGGGCACCTACCCCCCTGCCTGTGCACACACAGCACTCACCTCTTCCAGTAAAGGCTTTGCACATCTGCAGGTAAATGCACAGAAATGCACTCACCCAGCTCCCTGTGTGCACATACATCCCACCAGTGCACCCAGATCCATGTGCACACACAGTGCACACGCTCAGCCCCCTGCAACAACACACACGACTGCCTTTATGCGGGTTTGCCATGCAGCTCCCCGTGGTGTACACACACACACCAGGGTGTATGCACACATACAGTCACCCTCAAGCAGTGTGCATGCACACCCAGGCGTGCAATGCACACCGAGCAGCCCCGGCGTGCACACATGCACACATGTGTCTGCTCTGCCGGGTGCACACACACACACACACAGAGTTACCTGTAGGCAGGTACCACACACCCACACCACACCTTCAGCTCTCGCAGTGCACACGCGTGTGCATGCACACTCAGCGTCCCCCGTGCACGTGCATGCACACACAGCCCCCCTGCAGCGCGCAGGACACACTCACCTCCCCAGGCACCGCGCACAGAGCCCTTGCACGCGCACACACGCATGCAAGGCACCGCACTCCCGCAGCGCACGCACGTGTGCAGGCTCCACGCGGCCTTTCCACACTCACCCCTGGCAGGGCGCTCGCGTGCAAGCGCGCACGGGGCCCTTGCACACGCACGCACACGCGCGGGGCGGCCCGGGGCCGGGGCTCTCCCCCGGGGCCGCCGCAAGCCCGGCCCTCCCCGCATGACTCCCTTGACGTGCGCTAGCAAATGGGAGCGGGTCGGGGTGTTTCTCGCCCGCCTGCCACTTGTT